TATTTATCAACATTAATTGGAAAAAAATGAAATTGTTTATCAAATTAAATAAATTTTCTATCAAATATGTTATAATGATTTTTTTTTAACAATCAAACAAAACTTGTCTTTTCATTTAATTTAAAATTTAGATATAAATAATAAAGGAAAATCGTGCACTACTAGTTCGTAATTACTTAGGGGTGGGTGTTTATTAATCAAACTAAAAAAAAATAAATAAAAAACAATCAATCAATCAATTAAAATTCAACTTTAATTCAATCTCACTCTCTTATATATTATCAATATAATTAAATAATATCAGCCAATCATTCTTGCACATCACATCAACGTTAATTTGCTATTCACCCACTCACATATTTATAACTATCACTTTCCATCATTTTTCTCCTATTTTACATCAAATCAACTTTAATTATTTTATTTCAATATTATTTTAATAAATCTACTATCAACTAATCATACCATCATTTTCCAAAATTAACTGTAACTAAAAAACAAAACAAATAAAAACTAGTTGAATCCATAAACAATCATCCCCGTTGGCACAAGCAACAGTTCTTCCATTAATTAGATAAATCGATTTGTTTGACTTATTATTCTCCACAATTCCAGTCGTTCTCTTCAAATTAATGGCTTTTCAGGGCCCCGGTTAACATTAGTGGTTCTTGTAGGATTTTAGACACGATTGGCGCCTGGCGGACCTCCATTCCTTTTGTTTGAATAACATTTAATATAATCATGTAAAGGCAATTATTATTTAGAGACCTGTAACACAATACTCCAATTTTTCTGACCTGATTTACCCATTTGGCCTAGAATTCTCAAAAGCAAACCATAAGAGTGCTGATTATGAAATAGAGAAATTCTACGGTCCCGTTACGGAATAATTCCGTCGGGGCTTGTAACTGTTAGATCAACTATCAGGACGGTTACGTGATGATCTAACGGTTACAAATCCGACGGAATGATTTCGTAACGAGACTATTGCATTTTCCTATAAGAATAATTGAAAACCTTAAATAAAAACTATGGGAACTTTTAGGCAACTTTATAATATATATTTTCTTTTAATTGGTAGTATTATTCTTTTAAGGAGCTCATGATGATATATTTTCAACGAGCTCATGAATCTTTTCACTAGTATAGTTGGAATGTTGGGTATGTTTGTGTTTTTGTGAATTTGTATTGTGGCATTTTAGTTTAATTATTGGGCAGAAAAGCGGGCATGTGTCACTAATTATTGGAAATTATTATCTGTTTGCTAATCGTATAGGCCAAATAAAATTTAAAGAAAAGACCAACAAGTAGTTCTATGGACTACAAATTAATGCACCAAAATTGCTAACAAAATATTTTAAAATACATTTTTGCTAAGTAGAGAAAGAATAAGAGTTTTTTACGTGAAAAAAAAAAAAAAAAA